CGAGTGACTCCCTACCAATCATGATCATAAATTATCGGATAACACCATTATTGGGCAAATTTGTGAATAACGGCAATCAGCCAATATCATTTGTCCGGTTGAGCCAAATTGCCGTTATTCACAAATTTTTGCCCAATAATGTATACATATGTAAGTTACATGAAATTTGATTACTGAAAATTACATAAAATTACATGTATTGTAAGATTGTAAAATGTAATTTTCAACCCTAGCATTATGGTAAAATTGGCCCAGGAGTAATTCCGGCCTGATTTTTTGATCGTCGCTCTTAGCCAATCAAAATCGAGAATCTGCCGGTCCAACAGTACATAATAAAATGCATTTTTTTTTAGAATAAATTTCAACATGGATAATTCGTCTCAGCAACTACTACCACCACAACCTCCTCCCCCTCCTCTGCCTCCCCTACCACAAACTACACCAAATGTCGCGTCCAACGAGTCTAATTCAGTACAAAATACATCACCATTTATATCGTCCACACTTGCATTATCTTCAATCAACAGTACTAATGAATTAACAAAACTTGACAAAGATAACACAGCAAATCTTTCAAATACACAAAAAATGTTGAAACAGTTGTTAAAAGACCCATTATTGTCAGATCTAACAAAATTAAATAATAATGGTAGTATAAGTATAGAAGAAGTTGATACTCTGATTTCATTGGAAACTGGTACAGCTTTTGAAATCAAGATTGAGCGAGATGGATTAGAACCGCTGAGTAAGTTATAATAAGAGCAGTGAAAGATGTTAGTAACATTCCTTTACTCTGCTTCATTCCATTATCGACAAACATTTATAATCATGATTAAAATTAAGTTGGCCAATTTACTCGTGAAACATGATCATGATATTGGATCATGAGGCCAATTTACAAATATCTATCACTGCTTAATAATAGTAAAAATCGTATTTTTTATTTTTTTTATTAGTAGTAATAATCTAATCAAATTTTATCGGTTAGTCTTAGTCGTACGACAAAATTCTACTATCTCAGATGTAAAAAATTTAATTCAACTAAAAGTCGAAAAATCACAAAAAGAAAGTAATAAGGGACTTAGACCTAATAAAAAGATTAGTTGGTTAGTATTTATTGTATTTTCATCCTTTACGAATGTAATAAATATATATTTACTTTCAATTTATCTTTGACTAATGTTTAGGAAATACATTTGGAAATCTTATTGTTTAACATTTGAAAATCAACGTTTATTACAAGATAAACTTCCAATACAAGAATTAGGCATTCGCAGTGGCAGTGTTTTAAAGTTTTCAAGGTTGGTCAGAAAATTACGTAAAAAGCGTGGTATTGTTGAGGATAATCGAAAATAGATAGTCTTTTAAGGTGAGTTTTAAAGAAAAATTGATTTATATGTGAAATCTGGAAGTAATTCATAAGATGTATCCTTTACTTTATTTATTTTATAATCTTTCGCCTTTTTTTTTTTTTTTTTTTTTTTTTAAAAAAAAAAAATATATATATACATAAATTACAATTTCACTAATCTTATATCCTAAGGTTTCTAGATATAAATCAGCAGAAAATCATACAATGTTCGAGTATAACTGATAAATCAAGATTCTTTTGTTAATTTCCTGGGCGATTATTTGGATCAAAATGGCATTTAAAATCTTGCCATACTGCATTATAATTTTCTTGAATTTCTGAACATGATAGACTCCATTTAGTTACACCAAGCATTAGACAGGATTCAAACATGAAAGCTAAAATATGATAGGATAAATAGCATTGTTTTTTTGTTTTGATGAATATCGATTGTATCAACAAATCAAAAATTCATTAATAAAAAAATTATATACCCATTGAACCGTCGGCTACTCGTACCGGCTTTAATTCTTCATTAGATGCTTTCTCAAATGTGGTAGTATCTGGACCATGCGGTGTCATATGGCTATGGAGACTAATAAATATACCAAAGGCAATGGGATTTATGACCATATAGAAATAGATATAACGATATATAGAGATAAAACTAATAAATAGTAAATACCTTGCACCACCAGGAAGAAATCCTTCCGCTTTAGCATCATACTTACCCTTAATTAATCCCATAAATTCTGTCATGCAATTCCGATGGAAATAAGGAGGACGAAACTTTGACATAAAAATTTGTTAATTAAAAAGTTTTTTGTATAAATTTAGGGTCAAACTAGTTAAATAAATCGATATATATACAGTATGTTCTTGGACTGCCCATCTAGGAGGAAAGAGCACAAAATCCGCAATAGCGGTCCCAGGAAACGCGGATTTACAAGTAAGCACGGTAAATATGGACGGATCCTTTTTAAATAAAACAAACAATGGTCAATTGAGCACCTATACATAAAAAAACCATCGATTATTAAATGATCCTACCAAATGATCATAAGAAATGGATCCTACAACATTAAAGTTGTTAAGATCATATTTATATGGAACATAGTTTCCATGCCAAGCTACAACATCAAATGGTGAATGATCCTGTAGTTTAACGAATTGAATATTAATACATTTTTATTGTATATTAATCATATTATATCATAAAATTTGCAAATACTTGTTTCGCAGAAAATAATTGGCCGACATATTTATTCACGATGGTATAAGCACAATTCGTTTTTTCTTCATAAAAGGCCGTGGGTGTAAAGAAATCACGTGGATTAGCAAGGCCATTTGCACCTATAATATACATGTATATGTATTAGATATATATAGGAAATATAAAAAGAGATCAAAATATTGAATATGTACCTATCGCGCCTAGCTCAGGTAATTCGAAATGACCTACAAAAACTTCTAAAACATAACCGCGACTAGATTGAATTAAAGGATAGTTTAAAGGATAGTTTAATGAAATATTGTAATACCGCGTAAGTAATAAATATTGAAACTTTGAAGATACCTTGGACCGTCAGGAAGTTTTATAGCAAATTTAATACCGCGTGGAATAACTACGATTTCACAAGGAGAAACCATTATGCGACCAAATTCAGTGGTGATATCAAGTCGACCATGCTGCGGAACTATAAAATCAAACATATTATTAATAAAATCATTTAAATATGTTTTGAAGACACAAAGGAAACATCGATTACCTATCAAAAAGTCACCGTCAGAGTTGTAAAATGCAGTATTAACCATATCTTGATTTGCATTATATATGTGGATAGCTAAACCATTTTTGACAGATGGATCGCCAGCACCAGCTAGAGTATGCAAACCATCAATGAAATTTATGTTTTGCGATGAGTCTGCTTTCTCTGTCGAAAGTAATTTGAATGGATTCCAACGAATTTGATTCGGAATATAACTAACAGAATTAGTATCACTGAAATGGCTCACAAGGCCAGTTGTTTCGGTGACTTTTGTGAATGGTTTATGAGAAACAGAAGGACAAATTCGGTAAAGCCAGCTATAAAATGGATAGAATAAGAAGGTATTCAAGAAAATGAGATAAAATGCAAATATATACCTTCGTTGATTATGTTTTCTATCTACAGTAAAGGCAGAACCTGAAAGTTGCTCGGCATAAAGACCGTAGGGACATTTTTGTGGAGAATTTTGATCTATAAAAAAAAAACAGAAATTAGTTTTGCACGTTCGTGCGGCAATGACCCTTTAATAAATTAATTGTAGAGTAGTAGGAAAACTTATTAAAGTAGTTATACTTTTAGGTAAAGCGTCAGGTAATGCTTCAGAAGAAAAGTGATTGTCGAAACCACTCATATACTTGTATTCGGTATATTTTTCCATTTTTTTTTTATTTCATATATAACGAGAAGCATATAAAGCGGTTAAGTGTAGATATTACGTCATTGATTAAATACTTCTGTACCTTAATTGTTAAATTCCCACGGTGCGGAACGCAGAATATACGTTTTTACTATGATTGGAAAAAGCAACGTTGATGTTACACAACTGATTTTACACACGGTGTGAAACACATAAAAAAATTATTTTACAATACTTGATCGGAC